TCGATGAGAAGAGAACGAAGCGCATTATCCGAGCAAGTTATTTACTAAAGAAAAAAGTGTAAAACCACATCGAAACATACCCTGTCAACCCTCGACAACGTTTTCAGCACATCGGTACGTAACTGGTCATTCCTCTCTCTGATGCTAACATTCTGACGAAAGACCTTAAAATGGGCATTACAAACAGATTTCACAAAAACAGTGGTTATTTTACTAAAGAAAAAAAAACTTCAGTGCTGAAGTGCATAAGGGCTAAATATAAGCAGAATAAGAGGAAATTTCTATTTTACTCAGGTATACGAAAATAGCAGCATGTACCAAGAAATGTGGTGATTGAAAATGCATACCTGTAGAAGCCGTTGGTTCAAAACATTCTGCTTCTCTGTCAGCTGAGCCGCGAGATTGATTAAAACGTTTAGCCTGAAAACAAAACTAGTTGTTCTGAGACGAAATCTTCTAGAACCTCGTCTGTGAAACGTGTTTTCGAAGAACCTGCGCCAGTTATATACTATTCAAAAGGATAGATATAGCACAACACCAAAGCAGACCGGCATCGAAGCCGCGTTCATAGCTAACGAGGGGAGAATAGGAAAAATAAGAAAATCGTCGACTCGAGGACGTGGGAGAATGCGCGCTAAAGTCATGGGTTGGTATCGGTCGCTAGCGACTCGAAAGAATAGGAGAATCAACCGCAATCTATCCATAGTATCTGCTTCCATGGCGCGAGCTCTCCCATACAGGGTACACCGCCGTTGGGAGAACTGCATCAGGTATGATGTGGAGGGAGGAGGGCCTCTTCGTCGCAGCAAGGACCAGAAGAGAGTTCGAGAAACTTGGAAAGTTGGTAGGTAAGATAGAGAAGGCGTTGTACCAACTAAGGGGATTCGAGGGCGGGGTCGTACTGAGGCGTCATTGTACACATTGCGATGTTATACCCTGCTTCCAAAACGTCGAATCCTGCCATTCTATAACTTCAAGTGGCCAGATCGACCGGAACCAATACTTTACTTTGTCACGCGCCCTTCGAAAAGGTCCGATCGCCGATCCTTCTAATCGTAAATTATAAAAAAAGTCGATGGACCACGCGGCGAGGCTAGGTCGCGGTAATCCGCTGGTCTGCGCTCTGCACCTGCTCAGAGGAGGGAACACTGTGAGAACTCCATTTCTGCGAGGGTTTACAAGCCAAAAAGGCATGGCAGTGCAGGCTCCTCCAGCCGCGTGGCGTCAACAGGCCTCATAATCACTGCGACAAATAGAAATACCTGTCTTGACTCATTTCCAGAGCGGCTCTCAGAACAACCTGGTTCCTGTGGGCACAGTCAAAAAAGTCAGCGAGGTTTTTCAACTGCTGCTGTTGTGAGGGAGCTTTTCTGTAACAGAATAAAATAGACAAACGCCCCACAATTTCAGAAACCACGAAAAGAAAAAGTTATAGTTTTCAGCGCAGTTCGGCTCGGGGGAGGCTGCAAATGGTACCGAGCTAAGGTTGTACAGGCCACTTTGTGAAAAGTTATGGCCGAAGCAGGTTCACAGGAGTCCACGCAAAAGAAAAGACTTGTCTTTTGTTTACACTGAACTAAAAAGAAGAATGGAGCCAAAAATGCAAATGCCCTATTCCTAGCTCGAACAGCGCCACAATTCTCTAACTTCCAGGTCTCTGCGCCCTCAAGCAACGAATGAATATAAATGAAAGCGCCTTTACACAAAGTGAGGAAGGAAGACTTTCCCTTTTGGGAAGAGTATTTAAGTATTCAACCACTTTCTCTTAAGGTCGGGCGCTAGTCCTTGGAAACTGCCCGGTTGCTCCAAATGGGAAATCGTTCGGTGTGCCCACAGAGGCTGTCTGATCTAGAATTTCGAGCATGATAAGCCATTATGATTCACAGACTGTTGTTTTGTGAACGAGTAATTGAACCAAAGAACGATAAACAGCCTACTTAAGGAATGCGGTCGCTAATGGTGGATGGATCCATGACGTCAAGCGATGAAATAGTGGCGTACTTGGCACGAGGACGTGTCGAGATGCATGATGGACACCCACAGACGTTTCCTGTGCCGGACCATGAAAAATGCGGTAACTCCGATTTCTCAGCACTTTTGCACGGCAATGTAGTTATCAGTTCACGTGCTACAGTACTTTTCATAGACGAAGATGAACCCGTGCCAGCCCTGAAAGGGTTAACTGAATTGAAAGTCTTTCTTTGGGTAAATATTCGAAATGGAACTCACCCCGACCCGCCGAGTGCCTCCGCATAGTTTTCAAGCCATGGGGAAATGTCCATGTGGTAGACAGTGGTTTCATTTGCAATGAGAATGGTGGACTCAAAACTGCCGTTACATAGGGTCCATGAACTGCGTTGAGGCAACTGGAGCTGTTCATGAAGGAAAAGGCTGAAACAAGTTCCTAAAAGCTGAATTTTGAGGAAATCAATTCCCCTACCTGTAGTTTGCTAGCTCATCAGGCACGGCCACCACAAAAGAGATCGTATTGCTGGCCGAGAAAACCGCGAAAACAGAGAAAAGCTGAAAAGGTCAAAGGGTAAAAGGGTAAATTGAATAGAAAACTGTCTTAACCTGCGAACTCACATCACTCATAGGATGGTCGACAATTCTGAGATCGACTGGATCACATGGTAGGTTTGACGGAGGGATGAGAGGACGCGACAGGGCGGGTGAACAACCTGTAAGTTTACCAATAAAGGAAAACAGCTGTACAGTCTCACGAGTCACTATTTACAACTTTTTAATCGAAGTTAACAGTAACATAGTTAGTACTGATGTGGAGCACTTAGAACATCCGAGCAGTCTCGAGGTCCGGGTTATATGGTCCAAGTGAAACCTGCTCTGCACGTCACTTGAACCTGCCTTGCATGACTGTGGCAAGGCAGGATGAAAAAAGGGACCTCCACACTTCTTCTCCCTTCTGACCATTAGCCCGTGCGGAAGCGCAGTGCCGTCGCATTTTCCATGGTATCAACTGCCGCTGTTTAGGCCTTTTAGGCGCAGTTTGACGACGGGGGGGGGCATTTTACACTTTCGCTACTTCCCATCGACGTGTCGACCTATCTAGGCAGCCTCTTCTCGAGTTGACAGGTTTTACCATGATGGCTAGATGAGCTTGCTCCAGCTTCACAAGAGTTCACAGGTTTCGCCAGAGTGAGACTTGTAAACCGGAACTAGGGAAGCAATGATAGTACAAAATGCCCCCCCCCGTCGTCAAACTGCGCCGGTCTTTTAAGACCTTTCCAAACCATAGATAACGGGAGTTCATAGAGCTTAAATGGCAGCCTATGGACAAGGCCAGATATAGCATGGAAAACAGAGTATTTTCAAAACTGGAGAGAAACTGGAAAAACACCATAAAACTGTTTCAATCAACTGGTCAAGGGAAGAAAAAGACTCACTGTTGATATTGATCACGGTCGAATACATCTCTCCTTCAGAATCAATA